GGGTGTCATGACGTCATGCGGGCGAGGGGGCGTGTGTGAATCGGGGGCACTATCGTGACCGGGCGCGATACGGGCCGTGTCGGGCGCGTTGTGCCCATTCGTGTCGCTCCTGCTGCGCTCACCATCGGTACGAGGCGTTTTCAGCGGGGTGGGTGAAACGTTCGGGCTGTTTCACTCCGCCACCTCTGTGGCGAATGGAGCAGCGAAGGGATGTGCCTCTCATCCCATGCAGGGCTTAAGGATCTGCTGTTGTCCTGGTGCTGGCAGCTGGAGGGGTTCCAGAGCAACCCAGTGTGGATGTGGGGTATGACAACAGCCATCTAGGCCCTTTGGTAGCGAGTCAGAAGGTACCAAACGGTGATGGGTTGTTATTCTCTCTTGTTTCCTGCTGGTGAGCACAGCTGCACCGTGCTGCTCAGCTCCGGAGCACTGAATCCTTCTGGCAAGGGGACTGGCTGTGCATGACACAACTGCTCATTCCAGGCTGAAATGGGTTCGTATGAACTGGGAGAAGACAAGTTGCAAGGCTGAGGTTTTGCTGGAAAAGAGAAGATCATGGGAATTTCTCAGATACTCACAAAATTAACTATAACGTACTTCTGCAGACCATTAAACTCCGCAATCATTGTTAACAGTGCAGTGCTCTATTTCTAAGCTCGTGGCCAGGAGATTGCAGCAGAGTAATTTAATCTATTGTACCTCTCCTTGCGATGGGTTGGATCCTGAGCACAGCCCATTGCCCCATCTCAGCTGAGAGGCAGGGGTTTTAAAACACCTATACCAGTCACTCACAAGTCATCCAACCAGCTTTGTCGGCTAAGCATATGTCTCAAGCAGCTAAAACTCTTCCCAGCCTGATTTTCTACCTGAATTACTTCACATAATTGATTTGATGCATGTTGGAAAGGACACACAGGCAGCTGTAAGTTACACATCAATAGCACAACACATAAAGCTATAGCGAGATAGCCATGAGCATTTCTTTAGCTGTCTTCAAAGGAACAAGGAGCACATTAGCAGCACAGGGACATCTTTATTGAGGGGCTGGCACAGAGGGACAGAGTCCTGTTGTTACAGAAAGGTTTCATGCTGGAGATTACAGCAGGTTCTGGAGAAAGAAATCTCCCAAAGCCGATGCTGCTGGTTTCATTTTTGTTTTCTTTCAAGAACAGGATGTGCTTGGAGAGTCCAGAGGAGGCCCCGGAGCTGCTGTGAGGGCTGGAGCAGCTCTGCTCTGGAGCCAGGCTGAGAGAGCTGGGTTGGGGCAGCTGGAGAAGAGAAGGCTCCTGAAGGGGAGACCTTAGAGCAGCTCCAGTGCCTAAAGGGGCTCCAGGAGACCTGGAGAGGGGCTTTGGACAAGGGATGTAGGGACAGGACAAGGGGAATGGCTTGAACCTGCCAGAGGGGAGGTTGAGATGAGCTCTTGGGCAGAAGCTCTTCCCCGTGAGGGTGCTGAGGCGCTGGCACAGGGTGCCCAGAGAAGCTGTGGCTGCCCCATCCCTGGCAGTGTTCAAGGCCAGGTTGGACACAGGGGCTTGGAGCAACGTGGTCCAGTGGAAGGTGTCCCTGCCCGTGGCAGGGGTTGGGACTGGATGAGCTTTTAAGATCCCTTCATCCCAAACCAGCCTGGGGTTCTATAACTCTTTTTAAAGACATTAAGAAATGCCACTGGACTCATCCAGGGCAGATGTCAATATTACCAACAGGCTGTTCCCAAGACAATGTTATTCTGGAGGACAAGGTGATAGGATTCTTCTCATCTTCATAACTTTTTTTGTACAGATGAGATATGTTGTGTTTGGGTAACTTGCTTGGAACTCACAGAGCAATTGAGTAGCATAACTAATCGAATAGAGCCTCCAAACCCCAAGTCTCTGCTCCCTGCTAGGGCTTGCTTGGCCAAGGGAGTGGGTCAGTGACACAGCCTGTGTCCACAAGCCTTGGGGGAGGCTGGGTTATTCCTGGGTGCTGTTTTGTAAACGTAACATTAGCTTCAAAACAGGGCACGCATCCTTGCGTGTGCTATTCCGCATGTTCTGCCTCCACATCGCTGTCGTCTGCGAGAGGGAAATCATGCAGGGTCTTTTGGGCCGTGTAGCTTTTGGTTTGCATGGAACATTCCTGGCTTAAGATTGCCTGGGTAAAGGAGAAGAGAAATCATGTGTTAGTAACAGTGGGGATCGATCTGAGGAGTTACAGGAGAAGAAGCTCTTCCCTGTGAGGGTGCTGAGGCGCTGGCACAGGGTGCCCAGAGCAGTACCTTGGGTGACATTGTCTAGGGTGAGGGTTGCCTGCCCATGGCAGGGGCTTGGAACAAGATGATCTTAAGGTCCTTTCCAACCCAAACCATTCCATGATTCTACGATTACCACTTCTAGAGAAAGCCAAAGCAGCCACAACTTTTGCCCAGGGAATACAAGCTGTGAGTTGAGGGAAGCACCCATAAACTTTTATGGGTTTATTGTCTGAGGGTTTTGTCCCTTTTTTGAGGGCTGAGTAGAGCCCAGAAGGGAAGACACAATCCCCAGCAAATCTACTCTTATCTCCCCCGAAATCTCAGACTATCAATCCCCTACACTTTAAGGGAATTAAATATACTTAAACTCACAATCTTCTCCTCTTTAGCAGGGGGGTTGCGCAGGTACCAGCACAGAGGAGCATAGGCAATGTTGATAACACCGATGATGACCATCAGCCAGGGGAAGCCGATAGCTCGTGCGATCGCACCGCCTGTGGATGGGCCTGCAAGTTGATAACCAGAAAAGACTCAAGATGACAGAGGTCAAAAAGGTGCTTTTCCAGTTTAGAGGGTTTCTATGGATCTACAGTGACTGGATTGCAGATTCTGTGCCTGTTACTTGCAGTGGACGCTGGGTGGAGTAAGGGAGCGACAAACCGAGAGAGAGAACACACTGAGTAAGCGTGTCATCCTGTGAGTAAGAGCTCCTCCATACCAATTGCAAAGCCCATGCAGAAGGCGACATCAGCTATGGCATAGATATTGCCGTAGACGGAGGTGTGGCGAAGGTCCACGAGGTAGCCCATGATGGGCATCATTGAGGAGTCCACCATGCCTGCCCAAAGCAAGAAGGACCTGATCAGCCCTCGCCCCCCCTGTGTGGTGAGAGCTGTGTTTGAGCCGTGTCACAGCCAGACCACAGCAGCTTACCTATGGCAAAGCCAAGCCCGCTGTTTGGCACAATCAGCCCATAAATCGTTTTGGCCAGAGGTACCTTTGAGAGGAGAGAGAGAGAGGATGAAGGGATGAGGCCGGGAGAGCTGTGTGAGGTGTGAAGGGGTAACGCAGCACACCACGCGTGCAACCCCTGAGCATCTGCTGCCTGCCAGCTGTGTGACCCTATGTCAGCACCATCGCCTGCGCTGCCCCTGCAGAAGGGTCTCAAAGTCATCTTACTTACACAAAGGAGACTAATTCCCACCACAGCCATGCCGATCAGGGAGCACAGCCACCTGCAATGAGGTCTCAGTTAGGAGAAGGAGATGTTCCCAGTGTGCACAGCTCCACGAGCGTGAATCATGCTGAAAGCACAGGTTGAGCTGCAGCCTCTGATGTTCCACTTACCGGCCTATTTTGTTAGCCAGAATCCCAAAGAGGTTGGTGCCGATGAGGTAGGATACACTGGCAGGGAGGAATGCCATCCCTGCGAGAGACAAAGAACAAACCAGAGTGTTATCCCCAAGCGAACAGAGGGCATTTGCAAAGCCCTTCACTTCATTAACTGCCTCTCTCGTTTGGGGAATGTCATGGGCTAGGCAATCCCTGTGGGAGCAAGTCCCTGCTTTCCTGTGTCCTCCACTGCCGTTGCTCCCTGTCCCATCGCTCCGTGCCCTGTAGAAGGGTGGGTGTCCCTCTAAGAAAGAGTGAGGCATACAAAATGCATTTGCTTTTGATGGGGGGTGGAACCTGAGGCACGCAGAGGTGCGGTGCTTCACCCACAAAGACAAACAGGAGCTAAGTGCAGGGCTTTTTTATCCCCACTGCTTTAATAAGCTCGTCCTCTCCTGTCATAGGTCCTTCTTCTTCCCCGTTTCCTCTTGCCTTCTGCTTTTCATTTGCTAAAGGAAGAGGAATTAAGTAAGTGCTTAAGTAACAAGCTCGGGGATCATGATGTAGTCAAAACTCAATATTTACACTGTTTGCTGATTTACCACTTGTTTGTTTTTAATATACTCTCCCTGCGACTATAAATAAAACTGATCAGCTCCATTTCACTGAGACAACTTCCTTATTGAAACACATGATTTATGGTCCATTTTCTTGCCTCTCTTTAACAGCTACAGCACACAGTTAATCCTGCAGATTTACTCCAAGCTCTTCTGGCTGTTTTTCTCCAGAATTAAAGGGGTGAATTGAATATGAAGCATACAAATAAAGAAGCCCCCGTTCAGGATGGTTCGTGAGGTGGGTGAAGCGCAGCTGGGCTGTGTCTCAATCCAAACTGCTCTCAAATCTCAGCTACCTCAAACTCTAGTGATTTTCTTTGCTGTCTACTGACCTTTGGGTACTGCTAAGTCACCTCAGAGCTTCCCCTTGAGCTCCGTGGTGACAGGGGCAGCCCTGAGTGCTTTTCTCGGTCTGTGACATCTGTGGGTACCAGGCACCTCTGTTGTCCCCTCTCCCCACTCCCGGCATCTCTGGGATTCTGCTCTGCCCTCCTCCATCCTCGCTCAATCACTGGCTCTTAAGAAGCATCATAGGCTCTTATCAGGATGGATGCTCCTGCCTGCCTGGAGGATAACTCGATTAGAAGCTCTCTCAGCCCTCCTGCTCCCAGGCTGCAATTCAATTTGGCCTCTGAGTGTAGCCTGAGGCACCCCCTGTGTCATTCCTCAGCCAGTTGGGTTTGGTAACAATTAGGTTTTGTTTCTGCAGCAAACACAACGTTATCTCTGTATCTCATTTTCTAGGCAGCTGGTAATTAGCACGTATCAGCCTGTCCTGCCTGGGACTCTCTAAATGGCCTTGTTTTACTCAGAGCTGCCTCTGCAAACCCCATCTGCCTGCCGTGATTTCAGCCCAGCACGATACCATTATCTGCCCTGCAGAAGACAGGATTCGACAGGCTTCCCGTGTGTGGAACAGCCTTTCTTCCACCGTTATTGCTCTTGTGGGGAGTCTGATTCCATACCATTTTTTCAGTAATAGAGAAAAGCACATTGTATAGCTACCACTAAGGACATTTCCAGCTGAAATTGGAGCAACACACAGCTCATTCCATGCGGGTAAGGGCATATGTTTTCTTCTTTTATAGAATGACAGAAGTGCTGAAGCAGGACCAGCTCTAGCCAAATGATATCAAGCAGGAGTGGAGGCTGCAAAGCACAGCACCTACCTAGCTGCCACTTTGGGGAGCACATGGTTTGCATCATCCAGATGGGCAAGGTGGGCTCCAGCATGGCCACCCCCATGTTGGAGAAGCAGAGGGCTCCTGATGGGGAGAAAAGGGAGAAACGCTCTGTTTTAGCCACTTCCTGCTGCTGTTTCAAGTCTTTCTTCAGTCAGGAGGGGCACAAAGAGGAGCACGGTGTGTGCTGGTACCCGGCTTTACCTGCAGCAACCAGGATGTAGGGGTCTTGCAGCAGGGTGAGCACTGGTGTGCCCTTGGTGCTCTGCAGATGGCAAGGGGGGTTATGTCAGCTCAGAGCTGGGTGTGTATTCACACCCATCCTCTGCTGGGCACGCACCCACGTCATTCACACTGACCAGCTCACCTATGGACTCACCTCGGGGGAGACCTTGGAGGGCTGCAGTGTGCAGAGCTGCAAAGCTGCGAAGCAAACCCCAGTGTTAGCGTCTCTCTGGAGGCAGCGTCACCCCAATCCACATTTCCCTTTGGCTTTTCCTTCAGCCTGACCCCTCTCATCAACAGAACTCCACAGGGATACAGCAACTGTGTCTGGGGACATCACTGAAGGGGGAGAGGTGGCTCCCAGCCCTGCTCCCATGGGAGGGAGCAGCAGAACTCCCTGAAGTGGACTGTGTCAGAAGTGCTTTGTCAACCCCTGGAGCAGTCAAATAGTGCAAATGGTCTCTGCCAGGCTGGGAAGCCACAAGTAGAGCATGTCAGGAATTCAGTGTGGAAAAGAATAGGCTTTAGAAAGGAAGTTTCATATGTATTGCACATACGCTTCATTTTCCAAAAGCTCTTTCATGCTTCATTAAGGATATCTTGCATTACATGGAGGCAAAGATGGTAACTGTGACTATAATTTAATTAGCCTAATGCTTCCCACTAGGAATGCACATTTCTGCTGTCTGTAACTTTGCTGTTACACTTTCATGGCATCTGCTATGGGAGAAAGATCAAGGATCACCATTTATGCTGGCAAAGCCTAATTCCTTTGTGGCACGGTGAAGAGGCTGCAAGTGTGCCATTCCCAAACAGAGCCCTGGGCGACATGGTCTGAAGTGAGGTGTCCCTGCCCATGGCAGTGGGGTTGGAACTGGGTGATCTTAAGGTCCTTTCCAACCCAAACCATTCTATGATTCTATGTGCTATTCAAGCCATTAGTACAGTCAAGGGGTTTACTAAGTAATGAGGGACTAATTGCTACTGTATTGCTATGTCAATCATCTGGTGACAGAAATCATATGGTTTAGCAATGACAGAATAACCCACGTTGTATATACGCCTCTTCCTTCACACAACCCTATGAGATTCTCCATGAAATATCCACATTTAAATCTTTTCACCTTTTTTTGGGGGGGAAGGATTTAACCATTTGGCTTCTCACCTCCATCCAACAGGGCAAGGAATGCCAGGACCAGGAAGGGAGACGATTTCCCTGCGAATTCATACATCACACTCCCAAAGGGGGCCCCGACTGCAAGAGAAAGGTTTGTCACACAGCAGCAGTGTCATCGTCCCCAGTGCCCTGTGCATGCCCTGCACCCCAGCGCCCTGTGCATGCCCTGCACCCCAGCACCCTGTGCATCCCCTGCACCCCAGCAGCGCTCAGCTCCTGCCTCCTACCAGCAGGTATTTGGTGAAGGTGGTGGGAAGGTGTTGGATCCCATGGGCAGTGCCCATGGAGAATGAGCAAAGGAGGGAGGACGACAGGCCAGGGGGTGCTGCCAGGGAAGGGGCACAGCCAGGCAGGTGATGAGCAAAGCTCTGGAGGTGCTGCTGAAGTTCACCCCTTTGGGAGCACAGTTTCCTTACTCAGCACACCCAGGGCCAAGCCTCCAAGAGCGATGCCCATCGCGTTGCCCCTCTCGAAGTCGTCCAGGTACACGCTGGCCAACATGCCCAAGCCTGGGAGCAGAGGAAGCAGAGCCTGGATGGTACCACGGTGGTGGGGCTCCTCTGAAAGCAGCCTGGGCTTTTGGGGGGGATCTGTCTGCTCCAGGCAGGTGCAGTGAGGGTGAGTTTGAAGCCAAAGAAGGCGCTCGGTGTGTCCGTGCTGCTGATCATTCTGACATGATAATTGAACCCAGACAAGAGGAGCCAACACAGAGACTAAGGAGTAGCTGAAACTTGTACCTGCGACTGATGAGAACGATGACCCAATGCCTTGGAGGGCTCGGGCAAGGAGCAGCAGGGTGTAGGTGCCTGAGAAGGCAAACACTGCAGAGGAAGGGGAGACATGGGGTGAGGCAGAGCTGTGGAGTGAGCATTAAAACCCTGCAGAGGGTAAGAGCGGCCTCAGCTTGCACCAGTTTAGGTGCTGGAGGGGGCAGAGGGATGCTTGTCCTTTCTTGTCACCCATTTCTGAGACTGGTTGCTCTGCTCTCGCTCCTCTCTCCTGCATTGGGACAGCAGTGCAGGCACAGAGCAGCGTTTCCTCCCCTGCGCTGCTGCGTGTGAAGGGCAGGCAGAAGGACAATACTCACTGACTGTAGAGAGGAACATGATGACAAACCCGATGAACATGGGGATGTGGTATCCTATCCTAGAGAGGGAAAAAGAGGTGCCATCTGAGGGGGGGTTCCTCATTCCAGCCCAAGATCTGGACTTGCTGCCCAGCCTTATCACACATGCCTCTGCGGGCAGGTGAGCAACTCCTAAACACGTGGATATGCCTACGAGGGCTGTTCAAGGAAGCACCCAATGTTCCCAGATAATACCATAAAGCTCAGCCAGAGACATAGCTTGGTTTTGCCAACTCATCAACCCACCCGGAACACACGGACACGAGCCTGGCTCAGCTCACACGTGTCTGATGGAGACACAGGCAAAGAAAAACCCTGGGCAGCAAACGTTATATCCATAGCAGGGTGGGAATCTTTGTTTATGTGGTGGTTACTAGTAATAAACAGCATCTATCCTCACCTGAGGAGAGCATTAGTGAGGCTTATGGTGTAACATCAACTTGTAGGCTTTTTGAATGGGTGAAATTCATGCTTATTTTGATGCACATATTCCCCCCCTTGCTATTCTACCCACCAGTTCCTGTCTTTCCATGCTTGCAGGGGCTGCACATGGGCAGCACAGACCTTTGCTGCTCAGCTAAAGCGGATTTCATCGGCAGGCTGAGCCTGACGGGCTACCCCCTGGTACCAACCCAGGTCTCTGACCTACCTGTTGGTCAGGAGACCCACGGCCGGGTTGACCATCAGCTGTACCAGAGCCTTGGAAGCAAACAGCAGCCCCACACGGGTGTTTTCCTTGGCAAGGAACTCCTCACCATCCGGGCAGCTGCTCGGTGACGGGGGGATGCTCGCAGGGGGCTGTGGTGGGATGCTGCGCTCTGTCCCATTCACCAGCTCCGCAGCACTGGTGGAGACCAAGACTATCACCGTGGTGTTGTCAAAATAGGAGAACATGGAGGAGAAAGGAGGAGCTTTCAGGGCTGGAGGAGCTGTTTCAGTCTGAGCTGGGGCAGCAGAGCTGTTGGCACCTTCATATTCTGTTGCATAGAGGAAGGTGGGGACGATCGGTACTGGAAAACAGAGCAGGGAAGGAATGAGTGATTTGACTCCATTTCCTAGCTCAGCACGCAGCTGACCTGAATGGTTCTGGCCACACGTTGGTGTCCTGGAGGCCCCCAGCACCCAGCCCTCCCCTGTGCAGGGACCAGCATCAAGCAGGGGCCGAGCGCGGCACCGTACCCACGACCGTCAGCAGCATGTTGTCCAGCAGCAGCGCCACGAACACCACCACCAGCACCAGCCTCCGCGATGCCCTCCCTGCTGCCAGCCCGCGCCAGGACACGTGCTCCGCAGCCG